ACACACACACACACACACACACACACACACACACACACATTCTGGCATGCACCCTTAAAGTTGGCTACTGCGTGCCAGAAACTGACGAATGATTACCGTTGCGACTTCGAATGGCACGCAGTAGCCAACTTGGGAACAGACACGCAGACACACGCACACACCATTCATACACACACATCCATAAACATATGTACAAAGACACACAGACATCCACATAGGTTCATACATAGACGCCACACACACACACACACATGTCGATGACGTCATTGTGCGTTTCCGCTGGCAGAGAGAAGAGGACGAAAGACAAACCGTACGCATCATGTCGATGTCAGTAGCACAGGTGGAGGCTGCTCTTGCAGAGGTAATGAAGTATGCAAAGGAGGGCGTCCACTACAACGGTGACAACGAGTTGTCTTTGCTTCACGACAGGGTGCCGAGGTACTTCATAGTCGTTGTGGATATGAGATCCACAATCATGGCAAACGGCGAGGGCTGTGTCAAAGCACGAACACTCTTGCAACGCTTCAGAGAGTCACCATATGTACGTGTGGACAGCGATGTGGAAGACAGTGCATACAATCTGAAAGGAGTGGTCCAGTGGATCTGTAGCGAAGGGATATGCGAAGAAGGAGACGTGGACATGACAATGCAGCACACAGGGGGGACATATACACCTGCGAACTTGGGCAAGTTGCTGAGCACTGTCACACGGAATGGGAGAATGCTGGTTGATGGGTCGAAGGACGAGTTGAAGAGTGGTGCTGCAGAAATATTGGTGTTGTCCAAAATTAAGGACATTACACAAACACCGCCAGAAGACTTTCAAGATGTTCCTGTCATTGTCGCAGACTTTCAACTTGTGGACTTCATGAGAAAGAGTGACGACGACAGGAACGTCATCCATGAGGCGTTGCACGAAGTGACAGAGTTTGCACTGCAGGGTCAAGATCTGATAGAATTTGTGTCAGCAATAATGGAAGACAACATCATATCTGGCAGACCGTTGTGGGGGGAGTTGTTATCAGTTGCTTTGGAGCGGCTTGGTCTTGCAAACTGCCATGTTGAGAGACAAAGAGAAAGAGAAGAAGGGTGAAAGGTGATGGCCACGGAAACAAATTTAGCAATCATTCCAGACAACGGACAGACATCAGCAGCACAAGAATCAATAACCAGTATGGCAGTCGATGTGCCTTCCATGCAGACAACAACAAGAGAGCAGCTAGTGTGTTGCGATATCTTCAATGCTTTCACAATGGAGAAAGAACAGTGTGATCGTGGATTTGAAGAGGCCGATTTGGCAAGTTGTTGTGCAGAGTACACAGAGAGTGCAGAAGAAGAAGATGAAGAAGAGGTCGAGGGGGCATCATCTTCTGACGTGGAAGTGAGCGGCAACGATGTCAGCAGTGACGAGGAAGACAAGGAACATGATGTATACTATGATTTGAAGGTTGCGGGTGGACAAGTGACAAAAGGGTGGACACATGCGATTCTGAGGTTGACACGTGTTTTTCCCGATCCGCACAAAGTGCTGCGTGTTGTGATGAAGGATGGTGCACTACAGTATGCTGCAGTAACCAGCATAATGAAATCATGCAACAAGGGGAAAAAATGGTCACGTGTTGGCAAGGGATGGTTTGTTCTGGTCAATAGAGAGGCTGTGCTAGCAACGTCACTGACATGGGGAGTCAACCTGAGTTGCCTCATACACGGCGCAATGGCGGCAGCTTGGGGAGAGACATTGCACCCCGACTTGTCAACAGGAGACGCAATAGTTAGTGCTCGGCCACAGCAGCGACCGGAGACACACCCACACACCACGACAGACCATGTTAGACATCAGGGATGATGACAGACATGCATCCCTCAACCCGTACATCCCTCTATGTCTGCCTCAATTTCAACAACGGTCGGATTCACTACTGTGTGTCATATCAGTGTCCACCGGTGCTGTTTGTTGTCGTTTTGGCCCGCACTAGTGAACCTTCTCTCTCTCTCTTTCTCTCTCTCTCTCTCTCTCTCTCTCTCTCTCTCTCTCTCTCTCATATGTCGAGTTGTAGCTATATTAGAACCTCTACATCCATCTGCGGGTTACATTTAATGTTGCCTATTGTTTGTCTCTCCAAGTACATGCGGTTCACTACAGCGTGCAGACACAGGATTGAACAATATTTCAATCATTTGATGATTGTTACAATGTATGTTATAATTTGTTGTCTTTTGAAGTACGTGAGACACATCAGACCCCCTGTGATGACCAATGTGTGTATGTTGTTTTTTTTTTTGCATTCTCTGTAATTTAAATTCAAATGTAGTAGGTTGTGAAATGTTTTGGAAGTTTGTGCGGAGGTCGGCTAAGATGCCGAGGTGCAATCATTTTCACGCGGACATGGAAAACACATACGACATTCACAAACGTCGTGGATGGATAGTTACGAACTTGGTCAGCCGTAAGACCGTGGTGATGAATGTTGTGTCATGTATCGTGTACTATGCGTAAGTCGTTGCCTCTTCCTACACGACCATAAAATTTGTCATGGCATATAAATTATCGTGTCGCACGGTTGACTACTAATCTTTGTCAATTGGGATCAGCGACACAGACCATTCGTACCAAAAACGGCAATCAGTACTCCCTCTTTATCTCTTTCTCACAGAGAAGAGGATGTGCGACACTTACACAATATAAAAAAAAATGCTCTGCAACTTATAATTCTAATGACCTGAAGTAATGTACAAAATGCTAATGAAAACACTGTCCGCACCGCTCTGTTTGTTTTTGGAATGCACTGCGTGTACAGAAAATGGACAGCGGTCCACGGGTATGTGAGTGTGGCAGGCCTTTCATGTCATTACGAACTTTGAACTCACATCGTGCGAGGGCATGCCCGGTCGTGGCGGACGAAAGAACACATGGCCAGGAGATGGGTGTGGTCGATGATGCCGGAGCATCAAGTATAGGTGCATTGAATCTCGTGAGCGATGAGAGCGAGGACGTCGGGGCCCCCGTGAATGTAGACGGGGAGGGCGGGACATTCGAAGAGCAGCAACCGCAGCCTGTCGAATCTTTTGACAGCTCTCGCAAGCTGGCGGCACTGATTTTCTCCTCCAGAGGCGGCATCGGTATGTCGCAGAGCGACATAGATGCTCTCTTGTCACTTCTCACGGACCCGAGATTCTGCACGAGAGACATCGCGTATCGTAATAGTCGAGAGTGTTTGACATGGGCAGGGAGTCTACCAGGCGCTGCTGGATGGAAAGAGTTGGATCTACGTTGTGACGATTGGCCACGGGATGCGCACGCCATCTTGTGGCACTGCGACATGCATAGGTATGTTCAACAAAACGGCCTTTGGGGGTTCTACAGGGGCCTCAATGGTGACGATCCTCAGCTAGACCACCACCTAGCATTGCAACTAGACCGTATGCACACAATCGAGCACGGCATATTCCTGCACATGATTGACGCATTCAGGACCGCAGTCTTTGAGAAGTTGCCGCACTTACCGCAAACAGAGATCCTGAAGGAACGAGATGCAAGGTTGCAAAGCGTTAGTGAGCGATGCACGCGAACATACCCCCAACAGGGCCAACTTGTGTTGCCGGTGACCACTGGCAGCGACTTTTTTTCGAGGGAGGGACGGTTCGAGGCGAAGCAAAACCAGTCTGTGATGACAGTGTGCGTGTTCCTTATTTCTAATATTATACCGCGCTCGACAGGCAAGGGCATTACCGTTTGTTTTGTGAAACAGATGGAAATGTACATACGAGTGTTTCGGTGTAGAACACACAGTCGTGCTGCCTTCGATGAATGCGATGCTTTAATCACGGATTTTGTAACGACCATCAAAGGAAAATTGAAAAAATATCAACCATCAACATGGAAACTCCCCAGGTTGCACGATCTCATACATCTAACAACGTGTATTGAGCGATCCGATGTCCCCGACACCTTCGCGACAGATGTTTGGGAGCATTACCACAGGACATTCTGCAAACAGCCATACCTGTCCTCAAACAAGCGGAAAGCTTCAACCCAGATGGTAAACCATGTGCGCCGGTCATTGGCATTGCGCGAAGAGATCGGAATCGTGAGGAAACAGAGGAAGAGAACGGTTGAGAACCGGTTGTCCGTGACAGACGGTATGGCCACCGGAATGAACACCCTCGCACTACGCGATACGGCAATGCTGCAACTGCAGTGGTTCGACATCGATGACGAGTACATACGCGAGGGAGAAGACATTCACAACCATGCGTGTAAGATACTCGAAGAGTTTCCTTGCAGACGCGATTTTCGACCTGCGCTTACGACATACATGGTGGAGAATGGTTGTCAACCTCCTTCTGACGACCTGCTTATGCACACACGGACACACCTAGCCATCGCTTGCGTACAAGACGGAACAAACAGGGGCACACTTGTTCAAACTGCAAGAGCGTCGCCACAGTTCCATGGGAGACCAATGCACAGTGACGTCGTAATTAGAGCAGGCAATGAATGCACATGGTTTGCATCAGTAGCCATATTTTTTTGTCGTGGACGCGGTAATATGGAATAAAGCTGCGGATTTGTGCAATGGTACAAGGAGGTTGACAGTGAATGGCAACACATGACAGGTTGCAAGAAATTGAAATGGGAGAAGTTGAATGGACATCAACACAGTAGCGTCGTTTCAACCGACACTATTGTAGACATACTTCACATTGTTTCGCGCTTCTCTAAACCACAATGGGGATCGAAGCAGCATGCAAAACAACGGGAGGACTGTTTTTATTTGAACAAGTACATATTGTAGAAGAAACAAATGCAAATTAAGTTTCTTTGCCCAAAAATGAGTACCTAAACCAATCATCATATCTTTGGCCAAATATCCTACAAAAAGACTTCCAAAAGCCAAAAGTATTAAAGGGATTGCCATCAGAGTAGGAGCATCATGACATCTTTCGATGTCTCGCTTAAAAGCATTGGTTGGAGCAAGAAAAGTGAGAAAAAGTAAACGAAAAGAATAATAAGAAGTCAAAAATACAGAAAGACTTCCAAGCCAAAAAGCCAAATTACCACTTATGGTATATTTA